AGCATTGGTTTGATATAATTTTCTAAAGTCACAATCAGAGCTTCAGAGCCCTCTGTTCTTTGGAAGAGAAATATTGCTAATCCGTACAAAAATCTGTAAACCAATTTAGCAGCTGAGCTAATTAATTTCTTGATATAAAGAATAGCTATAAAATAAGATATGAGTTTTTCTGTTTAACTAAATAAAACTATAACATAAGTATTCACAGGCAAACTATTACTCTTGGCTTAATCATTAATCTAGTCCTATAACCCATTATTAAATTTAATATTTAGAATTAATGACAGGAATCAATTCTTCCTCTCTTTGAGATAAAAAGTTCCATCATGTTCAGAAGCAGACATAATCTTGACCAACTCAGCAACTAACAAAGTACTTCAAGCCTGATAAGGACTTTGATAATATACCTTTTACTTCTGTAATGAAGTAATCAACATCAGAGTTCCACAGGAAAACTTAGTTTAGTTTCTAAATCTTTATCTGTATTTAAGCAAAGTATAAATACATATATGCATGCAGGCATGCATGCATACATACATACATACATAAACTGGGGTCTGAATTACATCTGTGAAATATAAATAGTCTTTGGACTTATGTCTTACTCTTGCCAGGAAGGCTAAACAAACACCTCTCAGGTTTAGTGTCTGAAGTAGGGGAGTATGAGAGATTGTCAAAGAAAAGGATGCATTGTGCTTCTCCATGGACAAGATCTAAACCATACAGGAAGACCAGCATTCCCTCTTAGGAGTGGCCCAAGAGCAAGGAACTCTCAGCAGGCAGAGACTGCAGATGAAAAGTGAGATTCCTAAGTGTCTTATCTAGGTAAATGCAGGAGAACTCAAAAGAGTTTATCTGAGAAAGACAAAGGATCTCATAAGCAGAGTGTCTGCTTTCATCGCCTCTGGACCTAGCTAACTACACTAGTTTAGCACATCTATCGGATACATTAATAATGCTGTTTCCCCTTCATTCATCTCTTGTACAGTGATAAAAAGACATTAATAATAGTGTCCTATTATAATAGCTCCTGGTAGATATATGACAGGTGAGAGAAAAGAGCCATGAGCCAAGCCTCCTTTGTCACTCCCGGCTTGTAGTGCCAAAAATCTATAGGTAGGCATAGTAAGTTATTTATTTTGCCCAGGAAAGAACAGTCTCATTTGGTCAAATTAAATTTACAACTGGAGACAAAATTATAATTCTTTTTAGTTATATCTGAAGTTGGCTTGTTCAATAAGAAGCTGTAGAAACCATGCAAATTCTGGTAATGTCAAACAGAATCAAAGAAGGCACTTTTCAAATACAACTCCTCCCAGAGATTAAAATCTATTGGAGTAGAGAGGAAAATGTATTTCCCTGAAGAGTAATAGAGTGCAAAACATGAAAAACTGTGAAATCAGCAGCATAATTCATGACTCAAATCAAAGTTTGATCTGTTCTAAACAGTATAAAGATCATCACATATTTCTGGTCAAGATACACCATAACAACAATGACAAAGCTTGTGATGAAAATGATGAAAATGATGATGAAAACCTGATATCCTCAGATTATTAGCATTAATATATCATGCAGTTAAGGATCTCATAATCAGAGGGCCTTATGTCATTGCTTGGGACAATAGGGTGGCTTAACAGGAAGATCCAAACTGAACATTATTTCCTGGGCAGTAATAATTAAGTGACTTTAAAAATAAAATAAAATAGTATAAATTAAAATAAAAAACACTGGACTGGATAATTTGTGGCTGACCATATTTGGTTGGTATGTTCACTTAAGTCAAATATTATGAGTGATAGCAATAAGTAGAGTATTAGGTATAGAAATGAATTCTGGAGCAAAACTAAGTGGGTTGAATAGCAGTATGTGCCAAATAGAAAGGCTATTTAATAGAGTCTACTATAAATCTATTTACTATAAAAGCTATTTGATACAGTTGACTTCTTTTACATAAAATATATTATTCCTGGGTGATGGGAATGAACATTATATAAATATTCATTTTAAAGGCATCCTTGGCAGATAACTCCAACTCACCTAAACCAAATATTAACCAGGAGAATTAAGCATTTCTTTCTAAAAGTCAAATATACAATTATCATATGTCACAGAAATTCTAGGCATAGTTATATATAAAAGAAAACATATCATCAAATCAATAATTGTACAAAAAGCCTGTAGTAGTACTATTTACAATGCCCAAATGTAGACCCATCCTAAATATCCATCCACTGGTAAATGAATAAATAGAAGGTAACGCACCTGCACAATGAAATATTAACCAATCATACATAGGAATGAAATGCTTATGCACAATATACTGGGGATGAACATTAAAAACACATCAAATGTCCTAGATGATATGATTACATTTTTAAGAAACATTCAGAATTGGCACAATCAAGCACACAAAGATAACTAGTGAGGGCCCTGAAGCTAAAGGAGATGCGGACAGGGAGTAACTGTGTAATAGATTTCTCTTGGGGTAATGAACATGTCTTGAAGGTAGAAGGATGCACTGGTTATACAATATTGTGTATCAACTAAATGTTACAAAACTGTACTCTTTGTGGTGAATTATATGTTATAAGGATTTTACCTAAATAAAACTAATAATAACTTGGGAAAAACTCAAAATAGCCATGTCACAAAACAAGCCACAAATTAATCATATATTATGCAGCACTATCTTGTAAGATTGATTGAACACAAGGTTGGCGGTGCGTGCTTAGAGTCTCAACACTCTGAGAGGCTAAGACAGAAGGACTGAAAATATAGGCCCAACCAGGCAATTTAGTGATTTAGCAAGAAACTGTCTAAAAAATAAGAAATAAAGGAAAGGACCTGGGGATGTAGCTCAGTGCAAAAGCCCTGGATTTTATCCCCAGTATCATACAATGTATGAAAACTAGAAATAATGTTAATAAAGATAAAATTTTTTAAAAAGTGCATTGTCTTGAACATGTGAAAAATTGACACATTACCTTATACTGTATCAGAAATAATTTTAGTAGTCTAGAACTAATATACTGACAGCTCTTCTGTTTACAGATGTACATAAATATGTATGCATTACATATAGCAGTACCTCGGTTCATGAATTCAATTCTGCCCACAATTCTGGTCATAAACCAAACTGGATGTGAATGGAATCAAGTTTTTCTATAAAGTCAACATTGAATGTAACTATTGAATTTGATTCAGTTCTCATCCAATTTGGTTGTGACCAGACTCATGAAAAGAATCAAGTTCAAGAACTTTATATATATCTATATATCTATATCTATATCTAAACTCCTTATTAAATTGCTGTGAATACTAAAACCTCAAAAGGTTACCCCAGTATCCTTGCCCTCTGTCAGGCAGTTGTAAGATCAATAACTGGATAACTTAAATTGCAACAATGATTATAATATCTTTACATATAAATGTCCATGAATATATAGTTAAATAAATTATTTTTCTAAGTTAAACTCTGTTTATATGGCAAATCAAAAACACAAAATAAGGTGAATTTATTTAATGTGCAGCATAATGCTAACACATGCAATCTGGAAATAGCAGATTTATTTGTTTTTAAGAAAATATGTAGCAATGATGCAGATAAGATTGACAGGAAAGGAGCCTTTGTATTGAGTGAAACTGCAAGTGGAAAAGCAGCAATGTAAGAGGAACTTCAGACACAGCATATTGTACTCTCGTGATAAATCCCCATAAAATTAGCCCAAATTTTCAGTCAAAAAGCCTTGTGCAAAATCTCTTCTCCTTTATTATGCATTCTGTTCTTTACAATTTAATTGGAGACTTTATTTTAAAAATGAACCTTGAAGCAATTTTGGGTGTAGATCTTTTCATTACTTCAATGAAAAGATAAAGCTTTGCTTATTGTAATAGTAGGTGATGGTATAATTACTTTCAAGGAAAATAAAATATCTGGGCTCCCTTTATCCTATTGTGTGATTACAATACTATAAACAAAGCAACAACTTGAAATGATGTTCAATCTGTTCAAAAATAATTTAGTCTAAATTGTTATCACTTAGCAGAGGTATCCAGACTCATTTTAACCATTATTCTTAGAAATGGTCTTTGCCAAGGTACATGCTACCTGTGCTTCAACAACAGTCCCAATATTATACATTCTTCCTGCAAATAGAAAATTCTTACTTCTCAAAAAGTAACATATTTTTTCAAGAATATTAGCAGTATCCAGTTACCAAATGTTTAACTCCAGCCAAAGAAATTAAGCACATTTTTAAAAATGCAATGAATAAATCATTGCATAAATTGGCTTTTATCCTCTCTTTTAAGAAAAGTTTAAAGCATCAAAATTTTAGTTAATATGTTCTGTATGAGAATGAACAAACAACCTGTTAATACACATTTTTAAGAATGAAGAGTGTAGTGACTTATCCGTCTATAAAGGCAACTTATGTTCAACTAGCTATATGACTGTGACATAAATTATGATTACAACAAGGAAAGTGGCACAGAGGGGAAATGCAATGGCTGTCTGTCTCCATTTAGTCAGCCAAACTTTTTCTATATATTAGAGAAGGCATTACACTATAAATATATATATACATATACATACATACACACACACACACACACACACACACACACATATATATATATATATATACACATAGAATTGTTGGAAGATGATAGAACATGAACCATGATAGTAAATATAGAAAGAAATTATAACAGCGGACCATTTACACACGTTCTTCTCAATGACTATTTATATGAGCTATATGCATTTTGAAACACTTTATATCAACACAAAATTAGATTTTCAAGAAATCTGTTATTGAAGAGAAACTAAAACTAAGTATGAGTTGTGGGATCACCTTGATGAAATCTCAGAATATCAAAACAGATTGTGTTTTCTTACCTTAAATATTTCATATCATATTTTTTTATAGAGGAAGATACGTTGAAGGCAATAAATTCAATTTAATAACTGCTTGAAGATAAGAGAAATAAAATACCTTCTCTTGGTATTGCCGCCTGGATGAATCCAATGACTGGATTAAAGCAGTGGCATGGCCGACAAACATGGCATAGCAGGTGGCGCCGACAATCATGCTCAGCATGGTAATCCAGAGGTCTGACATGCTGACTGGGGCTTGGGCTCCATATCCAATGCACAACATGTGACTCATTGCTTTGAAGAGTGCGTATGAATATTGTTGTCCCCAAGACACATTCTGGAACATGGTAGAGAAAATAGATCAAAACATTAGGATATTATGAAAAGAGAGCATAAATGGTACACAGAACCACTATACAGTATTATTTACAGAGCAAAACCCTTGCAGTAGATTGTTTAAATACATACGTTTCAATGATTGCTAATCAAATGACTGGATCTTTTCAAATCTTGTCTAACATGAGAAAGTACGAATAGTGTACTGTTAATATGTGCATCCCTGTCAATGTTGTTTGCTGTTTTTACTTCTAGAATTCTTTTGCTGACAATGGTGTGTTGCACAACAATGCCAAGAATGAATGCTGATTGGCTTATTTTAATCATTTCAAAGTTTCAAGGAAATCTACCATTTTGTACTTGCCATCGGAGAAATGCCACTGGTTGGTGTGAAGTATATGGGCCAAGGTATAGAATTTTTTAAATAAAAACTATATTTTACAGATTTAAAAAGTAATAGATGTGTGGCGTCCTTCATAGTTTTTTCTTTTGTGATGAAAAACAAAAAAATATTTCCGAAATACAGTTCTGATAAATGAAAAGATTGCCTTGAAGGTCTGCCTCAGGGTAATATATCTCGGAAACCAAATATTAGAGTTGAACTTATGTGCATCTTGTTGACTTTTTATAAAACAATAAAGTAAAATGAAAAAGGCAAAAGAACATCTTTGCAAATGTTCTTGAAAAAAAAAGCTGAGTTCTGGGATTAGTTGTAATTTCAGGTATCACTGCAAAATTTTATTCCAACCTCAGTTCTACCAAAATAAATTAATTATATTTTATTTTCCTTCTGATAAATTATAAATAATTTTAAAATTAATTTAGCTCATATTCCATAGACTAGGGCTTGCATAATTTATGAGGTTAAGTACTAAGAAACAATGTAGGTTTGTTGATTCAAAACTCAAGAAGAAATGCTGTTAAAGTAATAAAATAGAGATTTTCTTTAAAATATTTTATTACTTATAAAAATAAGGTAATAGTAATAGAAGACTGTTTGCAGAGTACTGAGCCAGGGGTTTGACATTGGGGGTGGGAACAAATTGACCAGGCTCTGCCACCTGTCACCTTGAGAATCCAATCGGGTACCTGACTGGTGGTGAGAAATAGAGATGTATTTATTCACTGTGGCCAGGCTAGGAAGAAGCAGCAGGACTAGCATCCTAACCCCACACTTCAGAGTACTGATAAGAGTTTCAGGGTTATATAAGGTAAGAACAAAACCAGGGTGCTGAGGAAGAAGTATGTATAGCTAAGCAGCCTCAAAGTGTGGTCTGGTTATATAACCATACTGTGGTCTGCAAAAGCAGCCTGTAAGTTCCCAGGAGCTGAGTAATAACAAAACTTTTAAATTATAAAAATATAACATTTTGGTGTCAGAATTATACATTATACAATCAATAACATATTGATGTGTTATCTTAATTGATGGTAACATATTTCTGGTTTATTTTTCTGCAAATTCATTTCTTATGCCATTAAAATTCATAACTTCATTTTCAATGCTATAACCGATAGAGACATCAGTTGCTTTTGGCTAACAATAGATCACAAGTAATCTTTGATATTCTTAAATTTTGAGAAAGATCTTTCTGTTGTTGCAACTGTTACTGGTGATATTAAGAGTGATTTATAGGCTGTGACAACACTGGGATAAATTTCAGGTAAATTACTTTGAAATATATATTTCATTACATCCAGAGCTGATGATTCTCATGGGAATAATTTCTCCATTAAGAGTCACTTCAATAGAAATCAGATTCATAAATGTCTGCATTTGATTTTTAATCACACCTTTTAAATTTTGAGATTACTATAGAGTGTTAGTGCAAGAAATGCTACAGATTTCATGTACTCTTCACCCAGTTCCCCTATGGCAGTATCTTGCAAACCCCAGTATGTCACACCAGAAAGTTGAAATGGAGAAAATACTCTGATCTCATTCATATTTTACCTATTTCAGTGTACTTATTTGTGTGTTTATGTGAGTTCTATGGAATTTTATTACATGGGTTAGCTCATGTATTAGTCACCACAGTTGAGATAGAGAATAATTTTATCCCAACAATGATCATTTGTGTTGCTTTTAAATTGAATTTAATGCTTATTGTAAATGTATGCAATGATATGTTAATGTTTTCTCTGACATTTTCCATAACTTGTAGAGGTTATGCAAGACATCAGTAGTTTCATGATTTGTTTATGTTGAAAATGCCTATTTATGAATGCTATGTTTCTTTCAATTACAAGAAAAATTTAATGCAAAGCCTGCCTTCCTTTGTAATAACTGGTTCTTTTAAAGCATCACAAAGTGAAATAGCATTATCTCCTATAAAATGATATGATCCTTAAAGTAAATTTGTTTTTCCAAGCCTGTAGATGTTTTTTGTATTGTTGCAGTGTATTTTAAAAGTGAGCAAAGCTAACTGAAAAATTCCACTGCTGGATTATTTAATGTGCTGTGCATGTGTATACCTTTATTTTATAATAATTTATGGACAAATGTTATCACCTGAGTGCTGCAGGCACTGTCATGGAACCTAGGAAAGAGATCTAATACTTGTGTAGTTACTAACAGGATGGAATTCTGGTGATGACTGGCAAACAGACTTTTCATCATGGGTGCTAATGCTGCTGGCTTGAGGAGCCATGCCTATCTCTCACAATCGCTGCTGTTACTGCTTCTGCTGCTCTCATTGTCACTGCTAATCTGGGTCCGGTTCTGGTTTGGTGATACATAGGATGCCAGCTTTCTGAGCCACATGTATGTGAACCTGGCTGCCATGCCAACTGATTGGCATCTGTACTCTCTCCTGTGCCTGCGCGAGAGAGTGTGTTACTGCTACCTCTCAGCTCAGTTTCACACATACTGTCTCTGTGGATTTCAACTGTAAAACCTGAAGCTCAAACACAAATTTATTAAGAATTTTGGAATAGGAACGGGAGCAACACAAGACAAGCACAGGTTCTTTCTGAGAGTTTGGCACTAAGCAAATTCAAGGTCATATACTCAAGAAGCTACTCCTTCCTTTGTCAATTTAACCTTTATGTTACCCAAAATGCTAAAATCTATTTTTAAAATATATTGAACAAATATGGACGCTTTTGCTCATTGTTTTAATGGTATTTTCAAAAATCAATTTCTAGACTTCAAAGAATAGAATATGACAAATTTTCTAAAGCAAAAACTCCCTACTTCTTATTATCTATCTTTTGTTTTGCTTTTATTTATACTTTGGGTTTCTCATGTAAGAGAAACCATGATTTCAATTTGTTTGTCTGATTTATAGAGAGAAGAACAAGAGATGAAAGGAAAGGAGAAGGAAGGAAGGGAAAAGGAATTTTTAAAAAGCGAGCGAAATGAAGAAAGCTCCAAAGAAATGGAGCTTTTGGAAATGAGCAGTGGAACAAGAGGTGGAGGAAACAGAAAAGATAGGGAAGAGGAAGAGACAAAAAGAATTGAGAGGTGTTTTATATATATATAAAGTTCTTCACAGTAAATATAATCATTGCATACTGCAAACATATTCTTTCCATCTGTCTATCTATCTATGAAAAGGCAAAATTCATAATCTTGAGACATTGATACTAATGCTTACAAAAAATACCTAGACTTGAAAAACTGAAGATTTGTAAAGTGATATATATTTTAATTCCTTATGAAATAAATTTATGCTGTTAAACTATCTGCATACATGTGGGAGGGGATGTGTTTCACTGATCATGTTTCCGAGTAAAATTAGTAAGGCTGGGTAAGGTGATATGTGCCTGCAAACTCAGCACTATAGTGAGCTAGAGCAGGAAGATCATTGATTCAAATCCAACCTGGACAACATCGTGAGACCCTGTGTCATAATGAAAAGCAAGAATTTGGCTAAGGATAGCTTAGTGAAAAGGCCCTGGGTTCAATAATTTTATTATTGTTGAATGAAAGGTAGAATAAATTTTAATGACGGTATTTAAGTGAATGCAAGAGTTACCTCCTAAATACAAGGGTTTAAACATAAGAATCATCTTGTACTGAAACATGGTAGAAATAACTAAAAAGTCCACTGGTGTGTACAATGGAAAAAACTCAGTAATTCTTTTAGTATTATTTATTTCTAAAACAATGAGATAATATAGTATACTTTCTCTTTGTAATTTAATTTTCTTGCATAGTTCTTTATAATTATAAAAGCCTAATACCCTCCCCCTGACAAAAAGAATTATCTGGCTTAAGAGGCCAACAGTAGTGATGTCGGGAAATTATGCTGTGAAGGATGAATATAACAAAGTGTACATATAAAGGAAAGTTTATATTTCTAAAACACATAGGGTAAAAGCAGAACTGAAATAGTATACAAGCATCAAATATAAGGCAGCAACAAGAATAGTCATGAAGATATAAAATCCATAGAATTTCTCACACTACACTTTTATGAAACAATGAAAGGTAATTTGATAACTCAGGATTACAACACATTCTTCCCATTAAACATTGAATTTTTTCTATACAAATTATGTATAGAAAAGTCAGACCAGCAGAGTGGAATTTAGGTGGTATCCATGTGATACTTAGGCTGTTGCTGAAAGCATCTCATGTAGAGGAATGATACTTTATATCACTTACCCTCCCTACTTCTCCGCTATCTCCACCCACCATAAGAATCCCAGCAACGAATGCACACTCAGTAATATTAGATTAACTGTGATAAAACACACACATAGGATTAACTCAGAAAATACTATGGTGTTCATACATATTTCACTATAAACTACTGAAAAGTACCACTAATTTTTAAGTTGTTCAGTCACAAATACCACTCTCACCAATACTTGCCAAATGAAGACAGTGTCCACAGTATAGAAGTGACTTGTCCAAGGTTAAAATTTGGTAAGTGGGAAGAAGCCACACTTCCAGGAAGATGGCAGAGTGGTGAATATCAGTGAAACAGTATCTCTGAGACTTCCTATCCAGATGCTGAAACATAGCAATATAAGGAAGAGAAAGAGGGAAGT